ATATACTTGTTAATTAATATTTACTCACCGATTGCATACAACTGCATATACTTATCTGACGTTCGTTAACTATCCTGAGTTATCTTGGCACCCTTGTATCTGTTGCTCTCCCGACTTGATAGTTACACCGTGGTACACTGTAATACTTATTTTGTTTTCCATAAGGAGTTCAATCCGTGTGGTCCGAAATGTATAAATAAAATTATATTCATGATATTCGTGAATTCAAATATTTTTCTTAGTTCAAATAAAAGTTAAAATAAAAATAATGTAATTTAGTATATGGCTTATCAATATAATGGATCTTTCTCAAACATTTAATGATGCATTTCAGATTGATCTGAATAATGCATTAGCACTCGATAGCCATGAAGAAACTTTTCAACAATATTTTTTGGATATAATATTGGATGTGGATCAATATTTTGACAATTCGATTTTCCTAAGTACGCAAGAAAATACTTAAAAATCTCTTAAATTATCAGATATTGATTTAAATGATGCATTAGCGCTTCAAAATCGAGGATTTACTTATTACCTGTTAAATAAATATGAAGAATCTCTCAAATATTTTAACAGGACGTTAGAAATTGAGCCGAATAATGAGACCGTATTGGGACACCGTGGTGTTACTTATATGAACCTAAAACGATATGAAGAATCACTCGTAGATCTTAATCGAGTATTAGAAGTTAATCCGAATAATTATTTTACACTTAGTAATCGTGGAATTATTTATTATATACTAAGTCAATATCAAAAATCATTGGCAGATTTTGATAAGGCTTTAGTGATTAAGCCAAATGCACTTAATTTTCGTGGTGCTACTTATAGAATGTTAGGTCTATACAAAGAATCAATTACTGACCTTAGTAAGGTGCTAGAGATTAATAAAGATAATGTTTTTGCTCTTTGTAACCGTGGTATTGCTCATAAATTATTAGGCAAATATGAAGAATCACTTATAGATCTTAATAAAGTGCTAGAAATTGACCCAAATAGCGCGACTGCACTTTACCACCGTGGAATTACTTATTGTAAATTAAATCAATATGAAGACTCACTCATAGATCTTGACAAAGCATTACAAATTGATCCAAATGACATATCGTCACTGTTTGCTCGTGGAATTGTTTGTCAACAATTAAATCAATATGAGGAATCTTTGACAAGTGTTTGTAAAGTGTTAGAAATTATGCCTAATAATATAAGGATGCTTGATGGTCTTTATTTATAAAGGGAAGATGCTTCAGATAGAACCTCTAAGTCCAGTCTTTAG